CTTTGAAAATCTTGTCTAGGTGAGCGATGCGTGTGATACCCGCGCGTGGCCCCAGCGGGCAGCTAAAGTCCGGCACCTTTATGCGAAGCCAGCAGCGAGCGTCCGTCTAGACGTCGATTGCTAATGCGCCCTATTTTGCCAACAAGCGGGAGGATTTGTGGTTACTAGCGAACAAATATTCAGAGAGCTTTGAAGCCACCGTGTCCGTGCATCTCATCAATCAGCTCCGCTTTATCCGCCATCGAAGTGGTAGACTACCACCGCGCTTCCCAGCAGGGCAGAACGCTATGTCGTACGCAACATGGTCTCTCGCTAAAAAAGTCGAATGGACGCATAACTTCCGTCTCTCCGTGGATAAACCGGCGGCGGAGACCCAAACTTAAAAACAAGTCGTGGATGGTACTATATCACCCCAAGGCATTTACCTATACGTAGGGCACTCATTTTACGTTACACATTGAGCAATAACCCAAAGCATGGTGATTCTCTCCAAGACTCGCATTTTAGAAAGAGTTCCTTTTGAATTTCGGTTAATGGAGAAGATTAAAATGGATATTAAACCTTTTATACAGAATTGGTGATGTTGTTTGACATAGTCTTAGCCGTCGCCTCCTCGGCACCAACAACTCGCTCCACCGGCGGCGACGCTCCTGAATCGACGAAACGGACGCCCCGGCCCGGGGTTCGGTCAGAGCTCAGAATCAGCAGCGTGGAAACGGATCAGATGGGAAATAAGCGTTGGGGTTTGGTGCGTCAGCGTACCGCTCCACCAGTCCGATGCGTCCGACCTCAACCGACCGAAGGCCAACGACGTGTGACGGCAATAGCCGAGCAGGGCACATACCAACCAGTGTGGGAGTTAAACCACGCGCCTGATGACGCGCGAAACAGAACTACAGACTACGAACGAGATCACGCACATTCAATTATGTTATTGTGCACGATTCATTTTTGGTTGATGTATCGCTTCGTAAGAAAGGGGAGAAAAAAGAAAAATTACTTTTGGTCCTTCTCACAAAGAATGTCACTATAGGTTGTACTAGTTAAACTTTTTTTAGGTTCACTATATTTATAAAAAATATATTATCAATATTTATATCTTTAAATAAATTTATTATAAAAAATTAAAATTTTATCTAATGATACTAATTATACACCATAAATATTAAAGTTTTCTTATACAAAATTGAAAGTGTTTATACCTTTTTACAGAAAATGAGAAGCGACTTGTTTTTTTATGAAACATAGGATTAGATGTCTATAGTGTCTACCCTACCCTATAATATATTAGTTAGAATAAATCTACTGATACTTGCAACTAAATGATTCTTTCCACAAGCCATACCCACATTATATATCCACACTTTAACGCGGCTAATGCTTAAAATATAACACTAATAAAATGGATGGCAAAGACCAGATGATATACACATTATGCATTCTTTCGTTGCTCATCTAAATCTGACGGCTCTAGTGTGTCTGCCCTCCATCGCATGTGTCAATCCTCCTGCGTTTCCTCCTCCGCCTCCAGCCCCCGCCCACGCCTATCGGTGGCGGTTCGATTCCACGGTTGGCATTTTTTTCCTGAAAAATTGAAACATCGTCCTCTCCTCTCTCCTCCCACCGCGCCGCCGCCTCTGCGAAATACCTGCCAGGGCCGCACGCACCTCCAGTCCCAGCATGTGAGCCCGCAAGGGAGCAGGGCCACGCCGCTGCGCTCTGTGCGACCTCCTCTCCTCCATGGCCGGCGCGAGCTCCTCCACGTCGAGGCCTTCTCCGTGGGATCTGCTCGAGCCGGCGCAACCCTAGCCCGCACCGTGCGTAGCCCACCCTGTCGTGCGTCCCAGCCTGCACCGCGCGTAGCCCACCCCGTCGTGCACCCCACCGCGCGCCGCGGGCAGCGGGAGCGAGAGGAAAGAGAGGAGGGCGACGGAGGGAGGGAGGTCGTCCGCCGCGGATCAGGATCTCCCTTGCCCGCCCTGGAGCCCGCTGTGTGCATTTCAAGATCGGAGGATGTGGCGCCTGCGGATCGCGGAGGAGGGCGTAGACCCCTGCCTCAGCACGAAGAACGCCCACGCCAGCCGCTGGGTCTGGGAGTTCGACACCGCCGCCAACCCCGACCCCTCCGTCGATGCCATTGCATCGGGCCTTCGTCCACCGACGAAGTGGTCATTGCCTCTGCCCACGGATGCCGCCCAAGGGTCTATCCGTGGATGCGAGGAGGAAGCTGTAGCAAAGCAGGGATTGTGCAGACTAGATACTGAAGTTGGCCATAGCGATTAACAGCGATGTGCTTGCCGAGATGGAAATTCCTGAAGTGTACCTGTCCGTGCTCGCTTCGCATGAGGTACTGCTCGCTTCGCAAATCTGCCTGAGCCCGGTTCAGGTCTACGTCGTGGTGCTGTATGCATCTTATTGCCTATATAATGTGTAAAATTAAGATGATTTTTCTTGTGTCTGACAAGGATAATTGAGTGCTCCAGCTGCAGTCCTGTAGTTTTGTGCAACCAACGGCTTCTTTCTTAACCCTTTCGCTGCCACTAAAACTGATCTATTTTAGGCAGGAGATTCGCTCTGCCATGAGCTCAATGACTTGGGTCCTAAAGCCGCTGAAATTCCTCTTCTCGCACTTTGGAACTCTCAAGTCCTATTTTGAAACAATACCAGAGTACGACCTCAAGAAATGTGTGAACACTTTGGATCACCCAGCTTCGGTATGTTGTAGATTGGTTTGGTGCAGTGCTGATGACACCATTTTATTGTTTTGCAGAAGTACATGGCTGACATACCATCAGTGTTAGCTTTGACAATGTCCATTGAAGGAGAAAGAGAATGTGTTTTCGCAATAGTTCTCTTCCTACTGCCATTTGCAAGATTTTTTGTTTGACAAAAAAGGACATCTTCAGCTGTTCCTGTGAATCTGGAACTGAGACATCTTCTTGTTTCAGGAGAGCTTGAAATGCCGTTTGTTGGGCTCTGACGGTGATATGGGTTCATGGGAACATGAATATGTGAGGTATGACTGAACTGAATGATATGTTTACTGGCTCCTTCAATCAGCGAAGTCTAAATTTTCTAAGGAATAAAAATGCGCTGGTAATATTCAAGTAGACTAGGAATAAATTTTTAAGTATCTAAGGAATACAAATGCGCTGGGTAATGTTCAAGTAGACTAGGAAGTAGGAACTATAAAAGGTCATTGAATTGCAAAACCCACCATTTTAGTTGTCTATTGACTATTCATGCTCTGATGGAACCGAAGAGGGTGATGACGGCATTTGGAGCATCGTTGGTGGGAAGGTAAACAAGATGCCGTCATGTCATAACTCATACGTGATGGCAGAATTTTGTGTTTCAGTTTTTTTAGAGGATAATTTCAGTAAAATATGGCATGTAAAAAGCAACATGAGAAATTGCACTTGAGTTGGAGAAAATAATTAGTAGCAAATAATAACTTGTATCATATCATGGATTAAATCAAAATAACCAAGGGCTACCCTAATTATGGAAATTTATTGAGCAGGCATCTTGCCGGAGAAACTCTATTTTGGAAGTAGTACTAACCAATGCTTTTGGTGAACCTACGAATGATAAAGAGGCTCATTTTTTTGCTTATTTTGAATCTTTGGATTTGTATGTGTTTTTAAATGGTTTATGATTCTCTGTGTTGTCTTGTCAATTTGGGATTTCTGGAATATAGGATTATTTTTATTTTTACATACAAACTTTGACATATCCTTTACCTAAACCAAATATTGATCTTTGACTTTTGACATCGTTTAGACATGCAAGATCACACAGCACAAGTAGACTTTGATATATCCTTATTAGCTAAACCAATGTTCAATATGAAGCTTCAATGCCTGATCCACTCAAAGACTGTTCTGCATGATAAGCGCAAGTTATTGTGGGATGGTCAATTATGTCAGGTACATTGTTTCCTCTTGCTTCTTGAGGAACTAGAAGTTCTACAAACAGAAGGGCAAGGTGTACTCAACTTTTGGGCCAACTTACACCTCATTCATTGCTAATCCCTTGCAGATGCAGCGACTGGCTTGTACAGAATTGTTGTCAAGGTGGTAGCGATGTGAGCGGGCAGCAGGGACCGGGGATCTGCTTGTCAGGTGGTTGCTGGAGAGGACGAGGACGGTGGCGTGATGTAGCAGGCCCAGGCTAGGTGGGACGCGGGACTGTCTAGGCGGTTGTCCGCTAGGTAGGGCAGCTTGAGGTTGGGGCGCTTTCGCTTGAGGTCCCGAGATGGGGCCTGGGAGGGAGGAGGTGGTGGAGGAGGAGGAAGCAGCAGGATGGCCAGGCAGGAGGCGTCCTTCTTATCTTAAAACAGTTTGGGGATTACCGAAGCTGTAGCAACAGGCTGACACATCTGTAATAACCATTGATCAAGTATAATAGATTACTTTAGATTTACCAAGTTTGATGAATGCCTGTATAATGTGTTTTACCCACTTACCTAGATGTCGCAGTGGCGTTAGTACGAGACAATATACTAGTACTATAAGTATAGTAAATGCGTGCTCAATGAATCATGCAGCTATTCGAGGAAGGCACGGTGTTGCTGGTAAGAGCATCTCCAAGATCTTTCTTTCTAAATCATCATTTGATGTTGGATATATTATGCGCTTGGCCCATATAATATTTAATAAATCAAATAAAACTCTATGGTCCGTAACATTAAGCGTTGTATGGTTTAATATCGTACGGGATTTTGATTGAACGTTGACTCAGCTTATTTGGTTGGAAATTATCCATCTTAATTGAGAAGCTGAGAAAAGGACACAGGAGTGCCACGCGCGCGCGCACCGTCGGCCGGGCTGGGCCGAGGCCGTGGGCGTGGCGTGGCAGGCGGCGAGCGGAAGGGTGGGCGGGCGTGGCCAGGTTTTGCGCCACTTAATCCACATAATTACGGGTGTTTCTCTCTTTTATGGTGGAGGCGAGTTGATTGCACCAGTTACCGTCTCCTGAGTTCCTCAGCTGGCTTTCTCCCTCTCCTCCGTTGGGCATAAAACCAGAAGTCCTCCGTCAGTCCAACTCTCCCTTCGCTTCCGAGAGACCACATCTCAGCCGCCCTTTGGTTTTCCCGTTCCATACCTCTCATGCGCATGCGAGCAAGCGAGGAAGCAGGTGCCACGAAACCCTCATCCGCCTGCGAACCTTGCACGGGGTGTGCGGCGATTAGATTTTTGGGGAGCGATTCTATGACCGCTCGTCCATGTCGCAGACATCTTCTTCCTGGTGATCGCTCGCGGAACAACAATGTGTCTTCTTCCTGGTGACCGTTCGTAGGACTGCACTGTGAACACCTTCCTACATCGACTGTGGTCCACGACTTTGAGCAACACACTATGTCTGGTGCGAATGGAGCCGTCGATGCCCTCGGCATGGGACCCTCCGCTGTGGTCCACAACTTCGAGCAACACACTATGTCTGGTGCGAATAGAGCCTCCGATGCCCTCAGCATGGGACCCTCCGCTGGGTACACTTTTAACTCTTTGATTACTGTACTTTCGTACTTACTGTATCGATCGGTATGTCATACTTACATGCTGTAGCGTTTGTTTGTGATATACACATACACATATATGTCGTCACGAACCTGCTAATGTTTTATTTTTGGATTAAATTGACCATGAAAATGCCTAATTATCTAACAATCCAAAAACCTAATATTAGACAATTTTCTATCAGTGGTTTTGCTGCTGCTTTGAAGCCGAATAACTTTGATGGCAAGAATTTCATGATATGACGTGCCAAGATGGTGTTGTGGTTGACTGCTATGAACTGCTATCACACTGCACAGGGAAAGCCTGAACAATTTACTCCTGTGGAGGAGCAAAAGTTCTTGGCTGCCGATAACCTGTTTTGAGGCGTCGTGATTAGTGCACTTTATAGTAAGTATGAGAAAAACTACATATCTTGCACATCAGACAAAGAATTATGAGATGCTCTTGAGGCAAAGTTTAGAGTTTCTGATGCTGGCGGTGAGCTGTACCTTATGGAGCAGCTGTATGACTACAAAATGATTGAAAACCATTCTGTAGTGGAATAGGCTCATGAGATACATGTGCTAGCAAAGGAACTAGAACATTTTCCATGTTTGTTGCCCGACAAGTTTGTGGCCGGCGGTATAATCGCTAAGCTGCCACCTTCTTGGAGGGATTTTGCTACCTCTCTAAAACACAAGAGACAAGAATTTAGCGTGGTTGAGCTTATTGGATCTCTTGATGTCGAGGAGAGGACGAGACCAAAGACAACCGTGGAAAAAGAGTGGAGTCTTCCGCTGCTAATATGGTGCAGAAGAAAAACTCATTTGCATCCCGTAACAAAAAGAAGAGCATGCAAGAGAACATCAATACAAAGCCTAAGCAAACTGTTGCGTTTAAGAAGAAAAACAACAAGAAAGGTAGACATTGCTTTATTTACGGAAGTGATGAGCATTGGGCAAGTGCGTGCCCAGACCGCAAATATAAGCAAGAAAAGAAATCAGCAAACGTGGTGATTAGTAAAACTGGAGGAGGAACATCTGGGTATGGTAATTCTTTACCTTTTGTTCTTTCAGTTTGTCTTTCTCCTGAGTGGTGGATGGATAGCGGTGCTAATATTCATGTGTGTGCTGATGTTTCATTGTTTACTTCCTATCAGGCCAGCGGGACTGGAGCCTTGCTGATGGGAAACGGTTCGCATGCGTGTGTTCTTGGTGTTGGTACGGTCGTTCTGAAGCTTACTTCGGAAAAGACGGTGCTATTAAAGAACGTGCAACATGTCCCCTCTATCAAGAAGAACCTTGTTAGCGGTTCTCAAATGTGTCGCGATGGCTTTAAAATTGTGCTTGAGTCCAATAAGTGTGTTGTGTCGAGACATGGAACATTTGTTGGAAAAGGTTATGATTGCGGAGGCTTGTTTCGCTTATCTTTGCTTGATGACGTGTGTAATAAAGTAGTAAACAATGTTAATGTTTCAGATGAGTCGAATATATGGCATTCACGACTTTGTCACATTAATTTTGGCTGTCTCACGTGGCTTGCAAATCTAAATTTCATCCCAAAATTTAACTTAGTCAAAGATTCAAAGTGCCAGGTGTGTGCAATCGAAGCAAACACGCAAGACTCACAAGGCTGCTGAGGTTAGGAATTTGGCACCATTAGAACTCGTTCATTTTGATTTATGCGAAATGAATGGCGAATTGACTAAAGGCGGTAAACGATGCTTCATGATATTTATAGATGATTGCACTAGATTTTGCTATGTGTATTTATTGAAAACTAAAGATGAAGCGTTGCATTATTTTAAAGTCTATAAAGCTAAGGTAGAAAATCAACTTGAGAAGAAAATCAAACGTTTACGGTCCGATCGCGGGGGAGAATATTTCTCAAATGAATTTTCTGAGTTTTACGCGGTGCATGGAATTATTCATGAGAGGACACCACCATACTCACCATAGTCCAATAGGATTGCAGAGAGAAAAAACCGCACTCTAACTGATTTGGTTAATGCCATGTTAGAGACTGTGGGACTATCTAAGGAATGGTGAGGTGAGGCTATATTGATAGCGTGTCATGTCTTGAATAAGGTGCCCGCAAAGAACAAAAAAATTACACCATTCGAGTAATGAGTGAAGAAGAGATTAAATCTCTTTTACCTACGAACTTGGGGTTATTTGGCAAAGGTGAATGTGCCAATAAACAAAAAGCGAAAGCTTGGACAAAAACTGTTGATTGTGTTTTTCTTTATTATGCTATTCACAGCGTGGGTTATAGATTTTTAATTATAAATTCTAGTGTTGCTGAGATGGCTGTTCATACAATCATGGAATCTAGAGACGCTATATTTTTGGAGAATGAATTTTTCATGAAAAATGCACCTAGCACGACT